TTGGACCCATACATAAGATTGCTATATATTTGGACACTCCAAAATTGAAGAGGGTAGATCTCATGTTAAGTATCTCCCAACACATAAAATTTGAAAATTAAGAAAATAAAAGCTAGCTAAAGACAATACCAAGTCTTCACCCCAGTGTGTGGTTCCAAATCTTGTGGTCATAGAATTGACTAGAAGGGGAAGTAAGCAAAGTGGCTAGGACTAGACCATGACCACTATGGCCAGCAAGTAGTCATGAGAACTTGAACAAGGACAGAAGTGACAAGAAAGAAGGGAGAAGGCTGGATTCCAAAGGAAAACAGGGAAGTGGTGTTAATAGGATTTGACAACTAAGAATACCTGGCAGGTAAGAAAGAGGTTACACCACAAGGAGTGCAGAATTTTCCTGGAAATGACTCATCTCAGCACAGCTAGCCATGGCAGGTCGAAGAGATGACTGTGTAGTCACACGCTATCCAAGAGAATCAATTTATAACAACCTGTTTAATTGAAGAAGAGTGTTATGATAATGAGAATTGCTGTAAAGAATGTTGTTGGGCCCATTTTGACTACAGAAAAAGCAAAGTTGGCAATGATCTGTGATTTCTTTTTTCTCTAGCACTATTCCTTAGAAAGGATGCTTCAATGAGCATATACGAATAAATCTAACAAATTTAGTAGCTAGAGGACTGTTGGAAAGGGTATATTATTAGGCTTAATAACATATTGAAAATAAGGAATCTCACTATATTAGACATTGAAAAGAGTTAGAGATTAGTTCTATCATTTTATTGTTTATTTTTTTTATTTATTTTATTTTTATTGTTTATTTTATTAAAATAAACATTTTATTGTTTATTTATTAGTTCTATCTAGTTCTATCATTTTATTTTTAAAAAACTATTTATAAGCCAGGCGCAGTGGCTCACGCCTGTAATCCTAGCACTCTGGGAGGCCGAGGTGGGAGGATTGCTTTGAGCTCAGGAGTTCGAGAGCAGCCTGAGCAAGAGTGAGACCCCGTCTCGACTATAAATAGAGAGAAACTAGCCAAACAACTAAAGATAGAAAAAAATTAGCTGGGCATGGTGGTGCATGGCTGTAGTCCCAGCTACTGGGGAGGCTGAGGCAGGAGGATTGCTTGAGCCCAGGAGTTTGAGGTTGCTGTGAGCTAGGCTGAAGCCACAGCACTCTAGCCCGGGCAACAGAGTGAGACTCTGTCTCAAAACAAAACGAAACAAAACAAACTATTTATAGGCCATTTCAAACATACACAAAAGTAAAGAAAATATCATGAATCCCCACTAATCTATTACCAATTTGACAATTATCAATTTATGGCCAACCTTGTCTCAACATTATTCCCATCTTCAGATAACTATTTCATCTCTAAAAGACAAGAATTCTTTATAAAAGCAAATAATAATATCATCACAACTAAAAAAATTAACAATAATTCCTAATGCCATAAAATATTTGATCAGCATTCAACGCTTCTCTAATTGTTTCATAATTTCTTCAGTTATGTCTCTAAAGTCTTTTATAATTTATAGTTTCCCCTTTCTTCTTTTTTATTTTTCCTGCTCTTTTATGGAAGAAATGAGGTCATGTGTTTAATAAAGTTTCCCACACTCTGGATTTTGCTGAATGCATCCCAATGGTGTCATTTTACATGTTTGTCTATCCCTATATTTTCTCTAACCTGGTAGATACAGGATTGATCAGATTCAAGTTCACAATCAGATTCAAGTTCACGATCAGATTCAAGTTCACGATCAGATTCAAGTTCAATTATCTGGCAAGAATGCTCCATGGGCAATGGAAGCACACACAATGGCTGGTCCTTTCGTGTGTGTGTGTTTGTGTGTGAGTGAGAAAACCCCCTTATTTTTGTAAAGATAGGCTAACTGAAGCCTCAGAATGGTTAAGTGACAGAGTCAAGTCGGTGGAAGAATCATGAATAGAACCCCAGTCTTTTGAGTCTCCACCTCTACCTCCTCCATTGCCTCATGTCACTGTCAACACATGCTTGCTGAGTGGCTGTAGCGTGTTGGCACTCCATCAGGCACTGCGTAAGCTACAGTCCCACCACTCACAAAATTATCCAAGCCAGGAATGCACAAGTCACCCTAGGCTTCTCCACCTGTCTTCTTTCTGCTAAGTCCTACCGATTTTGTCACTGTCACCTCTCTCTCATTCATTCCTTCCCCTTCAGCCCCACTGCTACTGCTTTGGTTGCGACATTTATCGTTGCTTTTCTGGACCACTGCAATAGTCTCTGTAAGTTCCCCTCCTCCGTGGCAGTCTTGCCTTCCTCAGCCACCCCTGCCTGTCAACAAAAGATTTTTCCAAACTGCAAATCTCAGAGTGTTATTTTCCTGCTTTAATCCCTTGGTATTCTCAATTTCCATCATGCAGACTATACTCTCCATGGTGACTCACAGGTTTCTGCGTCAACTGATCTTGCCTTTCTGACCAACCTCACCTGTTACTACTTCTACTCGCTATAGTCCATTCTGTTGAATGATGGAAGTTTTCTGAATGTGCCAGAAGAGATAGGTACTGGTTAAATGTGTGGGTTAATGACACAGACTTGACTTTGATCCCCAGATTTCTCCCATTTCCTAGCTGTGCAATCCAAGGCACACTTACCATCGCTGTGCCTCACTTATCTTGCCTGTACAATGGGAATAATCTCAGAGAATCATTTTCTGTGGGTGTGTGAAGAATGAGTGAAATGGTGCAAGAGAAGAGCCAGCATGTGAGCTCTCAGCAAATACAAGATGGTATTGTTATATGGTTTCACCCTTTTTCATATTCTTTGAACCCTTTTCCAACAATGTTTCCCTCTTCCCTCTTGATAACCTAGCAAATTCCTACTCTTATGTAAGGGCCCACTTCCACTGATCTTTTGCCAATTAGAATTAAACTTCGCTAATCCATATTTTGATTGCTATATTATGTGGCTCTCTCTCTACATACCTAAAATTTTTAAAGACGAGGACCAGATTTTTCTTGTTTGGCTCACTGCAGCCTATAACATAGTCTGACCCACTGACATGCTCAGTATTGGTAAGCTGAACTAAATATATGGGGTTGAAATAATAGAGCCTACCCTTAAGACATGAGCCTAGTGAACTGGCTGAAATTTAAAAAATAAAAAAAATAAAACGGAAAAAAAAAAAAGCCTACCCAACTTCCCTTTTTACGAGTCTATATTTTCCAAGCAACTTTTCTGAAATAAAAGATGACTTACCCAAAGAATCCAATGGGATGATTGGCACACAACTTAAAAATGATGTCGATTGTAATTTTTGGTTTCTCAAGTAGACTTTGCAACTAGAGGAGAGATAAAATGACTGGACAAGAAGAATATGCAAACTATGAAGCGAGATTTCCCTTTGCAAATGAAAAAATTAGTGCTTTAATTTGTCAATCCGTTCCTTGTGGGTTTGGTTTTCATGAATCATTTCAATAACAACGGCTCACCCCTGCCAGCTCCAGTCATTTCTTCTATACTCATAGGAAGAAAATTAAATATGTAAATGAAAAGAAAAAAGGTATACAAAGGCCCAAGAAAATAAAATAAGATGATCTCAAAGCATGACAGGAAGGGACCACATAAATGGACAGTCTAAAAAGATTTATTTTCCAAAACAAAAGATGAAATCTCAGAAGCATGATTCTTAAAAGTTCTAACTTTTATACTCAGCATCATGTTTTAGCAAATATGTCTTATAAAGTCTCACAGAATTAATCCTCTCAATTTCAATTTATGAGTCACTAAAACGTATCTCAAGAGGAAATATAAAAGAATTGATATTAAGCTATTAATTGTTCATCAGCTCCTTTCTCTGATTTAGTTTCTTTCTCTTTTTTTTTTTAACTAAACTAATGTAGAATTGTATTTGATAACATTGAGTTTTCCTTTCTTTGAACATAGTGAAAACTTGCATAATTATGAAATTTTTAAGTGGTTAAACCTTTTGCTATTTATTTTCATTTGAGTCCAGTATATTATTATATATATTCGGAACTCAAACTATTCA